ACACAAGAAAGGAGACACTACTAATATTGAAAACTACAGACCTATAAGTTTGTTGTCACACTTATACAAATTGTTAACAAGAATAATAACCAACCGCATAACACAAAAACTTGATTTATATCAACCGGTTGAACAGGCGGGATTTAGAAAAGGGTTTGGTGGTAATGACCACTTACAAACCATCAGAACACTAGTAGAAAAAACCACAGAATATAATGTACCTTTACATATGGCATTTATCGACTTTCACAAGGCTTTCGATAGTATTGAGACTTGGTCCTTTTTGTCAGCCTGAAGGATGCTCGAATAGATTCACGGTACACTACACTCATTAAAAACATTTATGAACAGGCCACATTCCACATCAAAATCAATGAAGACGAAAAAACTGAAAAAATGCGCTTTGATAAAGGTATTAGACAAGGTGATACTATTTCACCAAATCTTTTTACCTTAGCATTGGAAAATGTATTCAAACAGCTTGACTGGGAGGAAAAAGGTCTAAACATTGATGGTGTACGTTTGAGTCATTTGAGGTTTGCGGATGACATAGTATTATTTAGTTCAGATATCAAGGAACTGGAGCAAATGTTGAAGGAATTAAACCAGCAGTCAAATAAAATAGGTCTCAAAATGAACCTTCAGAAAACAAAAATAATGAGTAATTTACAAACTAATCTTGTTATTGACAACGTCAGTTTTGAAAATGTAGACCACTATATATATCTTGGACATACCATTAAAATCGGCAAAGAAAATCAAATATCCGAAATAAAAAGACGCATACAACTGTCTTGGGGAGCTTTCGGAAGATTAAGCTTTATTTTGAAGAATAAAGATATACCAATGTGTCTAAAACGTAAAGTTTATGACAAATGTATCTTGCCTGTAACTACATATGGACTGGAGACCATGGCCTTCACAAAGAAAACCTTAGAGCAGTTCAGTACGATCCAAAGAGCAATGGAGAGGGCCATGCTAGGGATTAGTTTGAGAGACAGGATTCGAAATAACGTCATTCGTGAAAGAACAAAAATTACTGATGTCTCAGAACGTATTGCAAGGCTCAAGTGGCAATGGGTCGGACACGTTGCCGAGATAATCCCGAAAAATGGACACAAAGATTAACAAACTGGATACCAAGAGAGAATAGACGAGGAGTAGGCAGACCGCAGAAGAGGTGGACAGACGATATCAAACAAGTCGCGGGCAAGCAGTGGATTAGAATTGCCAAAAATAGAAATCGATGGAAGCAAATGGAAGAGGCCTATGTCCAGCAGTGGACGAACACAGGCTGAAGAAGAAGAAGAAGAATCTTTATAATAAAAAAGACAGTAATAACCTTAAAACATAAACAAAGACTTCTTGCTTTATGTGGAAAATTCTTCACAATTTTTCAACACTGTGGGCATATCTTATTTTGATCTTCTTCTTTTTCTATCCGTTACGAATGTTGACGATCATCATGGCAATCTTTATCTTATCTGCAGCAGCGCGGAAAAGCTGCACATATGTTGTATTGAACCAGATTCTGAGCTTCTTTAACGAAGATGTTCTTCTTCTTCCTGGACCTCGCTTTCCAAATATTTTTCCTTGCAGGATGGCTTGAAGAGAGCATATCTGGATTCATTTCGCATAATATGTCCGAAGAATTGTAACTTTCGAGATTTAGTGGGGGTCAGTACCTCTCGGTTCTTATTCATTCTTCTAAGAACCTCCTCATTTGTGACTCAGTCAGTCCACGGGATTTAAAGTATTCTTCGATATAGCCACATCTCAAATGCTTCCAGTTTTTCGCACATATCTTCGTTCAAGGTCCACCTTTCAACACCATATAAAAGGACAGAGAAGACGTAGCATCGCAGCATTCTTACTTTTGTATCAAGAGAGAGGTTTACTTATTATGGTGCCGAGGTAGATGGTGATACCGATGTATTCTTCGTCCATCATTTACCTCATCTTCTAGGTCAAAGGTGTTATCTATTTGGTCTTTAAATAGTTTTTCTAGATATTCTTTCCACGTTCTTATTTTATTCTGTTTGTAGAATATGATGTTTCCGTCAGAATCAGTTATGTTTCCCTTCTGCTTTCGTCTTAGTCCTCCTGTGTGTTCTTTAATTTTCGTTCTTATTAATATATTTATGGTTTTATATTTGTCTCCGTCATTTTTGGCTTCTCTTCGCTCGTCCATTAGTTTCAGGATCTCATCTGTCATCCATGATTTTTTCTTCATTAATATATCTGTCTTTAAGTGTTTATCCTTTACATTTTGCACTATTTCTGTAATTTGTTTGATCGTTTGTTCTTTGCTCGATTCGTATCTAATTACAGTCACTTGCTCGTTTAACGTGCCTTGGTCTCTCGTCTTCGTAAGTAGTATGATTGTGCTTTTCTTTTCTGCACTGTTTTGAGTTTGACTAGAAATACTCCCACCAGTGGAATGTGGTTTGTCTCCAAATCTGCTCTTTGATACTTACCACAACTATGCCTTTTGCATATGAGGCATTTTACTTTTGTCATTCTTTTCTTTAGTACTTTCTAGAGGCTTCAGCAGCCTCTTCTGAGGTGGATAGCTGCTCTGTTTTTCCTCCGGATACATCAGTAATGGTTTTTCTCAACTGACGGCTTAGAGTGTGAATCGCGTCTTTGCTTCTGCCATTGCTGTTTTAAGTTCTTACTTAGTTGTAACATAAATTCAAATCTGTGTAAAGCCTTATCATTTTTATTAGCTCGGTAAAAATTATGTACATAAATTACGTAATCATACACCTACCACTCTGCCGATGTAATACACACGCTTTCTGGCTGTCACCAGATGTAATACAAGAGACGTCTCCGCTGTCACCACTGAAATACTTTATAGACCCTCAAAGGATGCTAACCCTGCGAGCGGCTGCAAGGCTTACTGGCCCCACTGGTCCGAACTGACTGGTTCGTCTTCGTGGATTTACGAGAAGATAAGGGATTTTCGGGATAGGGGTAAGGACTCCTAGGTCTCAGGTCCTGTAAAGAGCTGAGGTTATGGGCTTACTTTGAAGCCGGAGATATGCATAAGCAGAATCCTGTACTCTCCTAGTCTCTGTCCGAATCGGCCGAAAGGAATATTAAAACCAAATTAGAGTCTGCAATATACTGAATGTACCCTGTAGTTTACAAATACAATCGTTAATAAGTCATTCGGCGCGCCGGGAGACGAGAAGCAAGAGAGTGAAGAACTGACAGTTGTACTATTCTAATTGCTCAGGTTAGTATATAGAAATCTGTTACCTTATGTGTAATTAGACTTTCAACAACGACACGTCTTCGGTCCTCTGGAGTTCGGTCAGTTGAGGGGACTCCTCCGTTGTTACGAACTTACGAGTTACCACCACTAACCTGACTACACGAGATACTATTTCGCGTGTTAAGCGCTCCCCGGAGACATACCGACTGCCTATTACTGACCCGGAGTCGGCGATCACTGCCTGAGCGGGCAGTCACGGAGCCCAGCTATTACTGACTGACTCGCTATTACTGACTGACTTGCTATTACTGACTTGATTGATTAAGTTTTTTAGTTTTTATTGAGCTCGTATTTTCAATGCCGGTTATAGTACCAAGGTCGTGTTTTCGCTGAGTTGTAGTCCTAGGCGTTATTTGGGTCACGAGTATTGTTATTTTTTACAACAATAGTTTCTGTTTGACGTGCTTTTTCTACGTTTAAACAATTAACAAACAATGCACTAACTAGGTCAATTTCTTTGTGTAACCTAAATGTATACTTTCTGTATTAATTCTCCCTTATTAAATTTGGAATATATAATAATTATCTCGAATAATTATTATCTTTTCTATGCTACTTAGCCCTTTACTCCAACTCCCCACTCACTTGCTACGCTCACATTACACCGACACAAGCGGCATCGCTGCGCGCTGTACGACCAACACTGCATTCTAACTGTGGTTTCTATTATAGAAGGTTAATATTTGGTAGATCATTATATTATACACTATAGAATACACCTGTTAAATTTAATCCATATCGAAAGTGGTCGCCTGACCAACTTTACATAGTTGGCGTGAAATTATCCAATGGTAAAATGACTTTTTGTCAAATATCTGATAAATCCATCATCAGTTTTCACATTCTACACTATTTTACACCTACCGCCTGCTGCATACGTGGAAATACATTTTGTATGTGCATTTGCACTTTATTGACTAGCTTTTGCTATAGACGAAGTCTTTGAGCTGTTTATATCACTACATGGCGGGCATAAGTCTCTAAGGATTTTAATAGTAGCGGAGTACATGTTTTGTTTATTAACGCAAGATTGATTTCCCTTTGGAAAATGATGAGAATTGGCACGCACATTTCAATGTTATTGTAGTTTTGCATGAAAACTTGTTAATACTAGTATTTTAAGTACACCTTTTAGGGTTTTTATATCACGGTAATCATCCTCAGTTGAGTATAATTATAATAATAATAATAAAAATACTAATAAACATTCCGAAGATTCGTAATGTGAATAACATAAAAACGGCTAGTTTTTTAAAGTAATGATATGAAGCCTTTAGAAGATAAAGATGTGTGATACCGATAAACCTTTTTACTATTTCCACTTGCAATAATAGATTCTTCAAATTCTGTTCTTAACTTTAGCAACGATTGTTTGACTCGGTTAGAAAAATTACGGTGAGCAAACAAATTATCAAGGGAACCAGTGATTTATATGTTCGCCAAAGCTTTAGCTACGGTTTGTTAGAACAGTGCGCAGCGCACGGCATACACGTACAGCAAAATCTGTTGTACTCGACTCACGGCAGTTTTGGGTGAGTGGGTTTGTTAGAGTCATAAGGCATACATATATTATATGTGTGTTAACCTAAATTAAATGTTAGCAGTGATAAGAGCTTGGTCCCAAAGACCCACAGAAGAGTACACTTTAACTGTAGAAATTAATTAATCGTCTAAAAGTCTAAAATTTAAGGTTTATTGTTTGTTCTAAATCTTGTAGGTTAAAGTAGAGGAAGCATTAGCTGCCCTGAATGATGACTGTTTTCATATAGAAAATGATGGAGAGCCAGATTATGAAGAAGCTAATATGTCAATATCAGATGAGGATGAAGTAGCATTAGAAAAAGAAGAAATTCCTCAAAAGACTAAAAAGTGGAAAAACAAAAAACTATGTGAATGACTGGAAAAGTTGTACCTCCAAATGGTATTTTGGATCGATCAAGCGAAAGTAATTTTAGTTGTGATGAAAGTGACAGTTCAGAAGACCATTCACCATTTGATTATTTTTCGCGCCATTTTCCTCCCGAAATATTCAAGAAGTTATCTGAAAAATCCAATTCTTATTCTGTTTACAAGAATGGTAAAAGTCTCAGTACTGACGAAAATGAGATACACTGTCTGGTTGCCCTGCACATTGTAATAAGAATTAATAATTTTCTGAGGCTAAGACTTTATACAGTTCCACAGATATACGGAACTAATAGCTAATATATATAAGGAAGCCAAAACAACAAATTAAAGTATATGAAGGAACAAAATCAATACAAATAAATAGAGGCGTGAGTCAGGGTGATACTATATCACCGAATCTTTTTAATCAGGCTCTTGAAGATACTTTTAAAAGATTAGAATGGGAAGAAGAAGGTATAAAAATTTGTGGACAACGCTTGAACCATCTAAGGTACGGTGATGATATCGTATTGATAACTGATAAAAAAGAAGAATTATTTGATATGGTGAAAGAACTGGACGTAGAAGCTGAAAAGATAGGCCTTAATATGAATTACAGCAAGACCAAAACCATAACAAATACAGATGAAGACATCACAATGAGAATCGGACAAGATGAAATAGAACAAGTTCAGGATTATATATATATATATATATATATATATATATATATATATATATATATATATATATATCTTGGTCAAACTATAAAACTTAACAAAGAGAACCAAACAGCACAGATAAAGAGACGAGTTAGACTGGCATAGGCGGCATTTGGCAAACTAAGCTACATTCTTAAAAACAAAAAATATCCACAGCATTTTAAGACCAAGGTATACAATCAATGCGTACTCCCTGTTCTTACATATGGTTCCCAAACGTGGACATTCACAAAAGCAAACATGGACAAAATCATAAAAACCCAAAGAGCAATGGAAAGACAAATGTTGCAAATAAGACTAATGCATAAAAAGAGAAACGAGTGGATAAGAGAGAAAACAAAAGTGAGGGATGTTAGACAAGAAGTTGCAAAATAGAAATGGAGATTTGCCGGACATAATATAAGACAAAAAGAAGACCGATGGAACAAAATTCTTATAAGTTGGACACCGTGGGAATATAAACGAAGCAGAGGAAAGCCCCAAATGAGATGGGCAGATAATATCAAGAAGCACTTTTGCTCTAGGTGGATGACTGTAGTGACAGACAGAGAAGAATGGAAAAGGATTGGGGAGGCCTATATCCAAAGATGGACCGAAGAATTATTCTTTATTAAAACAAATTATTTGCTTCTACACTCAAACTATCTTCAATAATAATATATAATACACAGAAAATTTACCGTAACACTAACAAATATTAAATATTATCAAGCAAGACCAAATCAGTTTTTTCAAATTCCAAATTCTCATTTAAGACAGAAAACCAGTTAGGCCTTTTTGTCAGTTATACCCGCTTAAATAATTAAATAATCTCATTAATGTTGCCCACGCACTTTATCTTATACTAGACGCTAACTTTGTACAAAATTGTCTAGGAAAACTTTTGGAATTTTCGTTGTGTTTTGTATAATAAGCAGGTACGCATTATATATTAAGAAGAAGTATTATGTTGGTTCCCTTTTTTGTTTGACACTAAAGAGACCGTGGTAATGGACTTCAGGGAGGGTTAATATTCTCCAACATATATGCGTGTTCACGTAAATTTTTTCTAAATCATATTTTATTCTGCGTGCCTATAAAATTACAGGAAGTTTCAAAGTTGAACAAGATTAACGCTCCAACTTCTACAAACTAATGAATAATAAATTAAAATCTCCTTGTCTAAAAATTAGGACAACCGGAAGTTGTCAGTTAATAAATGTATACTTAAAATAGCAATCTAGGGATATTTATGCCACATGTGCTTTATTTGGCGATTATACATAAATTGTGTTCCTCTGTGTAAAAGCAAAACTAAAATTGGAAACATATTTTTTGATACAATGTTAGTTGGAGATTTTTATATTTACTAATTAATCTTTTATCAATCTGGAAACACTATTTAATATTTATATGTTCTATGCAGTTTACTATAGCGAGTGACGAAAGAAATTTTTCAATAGGTAAATAATAGCAAATATATATGGCATCGCATTACGGCAAAGTCAAATCAATAGCCATTTTCTGAAAATTTTACTCAAAATTGTACATCAGCGAATATGCAGAGAATGCGAAAGAAACCTGAGCGACAATCAATTTGGATTTCGTATAGAGCTCACTGTAACTGTAACTATTAACTGCTCACTACATATTTTCCATGAAAAGTGACGAAAAAACAAAACATTACAAATTTGACGTAAAATTTGAACAATGATGCCAACTGCCCCAGACAGCGACCTCAGCGAGATTGATGTAATTCTTAAACATCATTCGCTTTCCCGCATAACCTTCTCAGCGATCTAAGAGGATGTTTATTTGAAACGCAATGTTAAGCGGAAAACGATCAAAGAAAATACCAAAGAATATGCGTCTGTGATATATTAACAAACTGTAAAATGTGTTTATATCAACTCGGCGAGCAAAAAGAATTGAAATAATTCTTCGGAGTTTCAACAAATACGAGGAGATTTCAAGAGTTTGTAAACTAGCTGACCCTATTTTTAGAAATAAGAATCTCAACATCCTTTTACAGTTGTTCCTAGATAATTCTTACCCCGAATCCTTACTTAGGAAAATCATCTTTAACACATCCTCTGTTATACTCAACACACAAGTAAACCCTTCCCAAAATACAGGTGATATGAAAATTACCTCTGTTTCCCACTCACTGACTAACAATATTCCTAATATATCTTTTGCATCACTTCCATTTATTAAGGACGTCACTCCCAAATTGACCAGAATTTTTGCTCAATACCTACCAAATGTAAAAATTGCTTATAAAAGCACTCTAGTTGTGGGATCTCTGTACAAGTCATTGAAAGATAAAGCACCAAACTTAGATAAAAGTGATGTGGTCTACAAACTTAATTGTTTAGGCTGTGAAGGTTCTTATATAGGTCACACCTCCCAAAAAGTTTCCAGCCGTTTAACTCTTCACAAGAGTGACATTAGGTTACACACCTGATAGATGTTCCCTAGCCACACATGTTAACACAACAGGACACTCTTTCGATTTTCCAAATGTGAAAATCCTATCCACGGAGAGCAATGATTCAAAAAGAATGTTTCTCGAGATGGCTTTCATTTTTCAAGAAAAAGAAACCATTAATAAAAAGACAGATACCAAGAATTTAAGCAACTTATATTCATTATTGTTAACTTTAGATAAACATGAATCTACTAATACAGACAATTCATCGTCAACAATATAAGTTTAATTATATATGAGATATACAATATCTCTCCTATTTCTAAAATAAGTCTTTTCATCTTTTCTTTTTCAATAAGTTCAGCTTCTATCAGGTATACTATCACCTTTACATCGTTATCATTTAAGATCTAACGTTCTGTCGTTTCAAGTTGGTAGCAACGAATTCACAAGCAATTCTTTTGTTTCTGATAAGAATATTTATAACCAAAATTTTATATTGTGACTACGTACATGTTTTGTAACTATTTTAACATAATTTTATTTAAATGTTTATGTATGTGTGTTCTAAGTGTTTTATGTATGTTAAAGAACGTTTTAAATCAATTTTTTGATAGTTTTCGCCATAGTTATAGGGGTCAAATGAGTTCCCAGTTTCATTTAATAAACATCAAGACAACAAACCTCAATTAGTGTAAGAGGCAAAGTAAGTCTCACTCTGTAATTTATACTAATTCTGTTTATTGTAGCACCCTGATGATGCAAATAAAGATTTGCGAAAGCTTGGTTAACTAAAAAGAGTACTTCTTTGTCCCATCTTCCGCTGCACACCCAAATATTGGAGTATTGTATATATATATATATATATATATATATATATATATATATATAATGAATTTTATCGTTGCTATGGTAACGACTTGTTGCCAAAGCACACTGTAATAATTTCAGATTAAACCTATATCAAAACTTTTGTTCCGTACCTTTTACATTATAAAAACGCATATTTAACTTAAAACTATAAAAAGACAATATTAAAAAAAAAGTAGACAGGATGAGTTATCTTTACTAATACAAGTTGGGGCATTTTTAATATTTTACAAAAAAATTTTTAATAGTGATTAATTTAACACCAAAAACTTTGTAAAACACTTTAATAAACTTTAAAACACAGGATATTACAATTAGCAGCTTCTGAAAACCACTTGAATTAAATTGTTGTTTACTGAAACCTACGTAGTGCCATAACTTTCATTTTTGATTAAAAGTGTTTCGTATAATAATACAAGACCAGCGCATCAATAAACCTAAGCGCTCACGACAAAAGATTAAAATTTATTAGTCCTCCGCAATGCCTGATGCATAAATTGGTTTCATATAGCCCACACCGTTATAATGCGTGTGAATTTACAAAAATGGGCTGTTAATGGATGCGATGCCACGTCCTTGTGATTTTCGAAAGTATTACAGCCTTCTGATATAGCTACAGGTGTTATTACTGCTGCTGGTTAATACCTTTTATGTGCATTGTTTGAACTGTAAAATGGTTCGTTTATTTTCTCTTTAGAGCGTATTTTTAAAACGCCTAGTCTTGGCGTCCTTTCTTCTAAAATGGCAATTTGGCTAGAAAGGAAAACACGAATATCACTTTATTATTTAATGGAAATTAACGTTGCTGAACGTTTTAAGTAATTATCAGGAAAGTAAGGAGTCTAAGAAATAAAAGCTATCGTTTTGCTCTTATCTTTTATAGAAATAAAAAATGTATGAAAGAATTTTTATGAAAAAGCTATATAGAAATTTTATATATATATATATATATATATATATATATATATATATATATAAAATTTTATATATATATATATATATACAGGA